TACTTCCCTTGGCTCACAAAAGTTTCACTCTTCATTTGCTTGATTTGGAGACCAAGAAAGTAACTAAGCTCTCCAAGCATGGACATCTCAAACTCCTTTGCCATCATCTTTCCAAACTCTTCACAATGCGCTTGGTTGGTTGATCCAAAGATAATGTCATCCACATATATTTGCAACACAAACAAGTCTTTTCCAATCTTCTTGGTGAAGAGAGTGGTATCAACCTTGCCCATCTTGAACCCTTTAGAGAGTAGGAAATCCCTCAACCTCTCATACCATGCTCTAGGTGCTTGTTTCAATCCATATAATGCCTCCCTTAGCTTGTACACATGGTTGGGCTTCTTTTCATCCTCAAAACCGGGCGGTTGCTCAACATATACTAGCTCATTGATATATCCATTCAAGAAAGCACTTTTGACATCCATTTGATAGAGCTTGATGTTGTGTGCACATGCATAGGCTAAGAGTATTCTAATTGCTTCAAGCCTTGCAATCGGTGCATATGTTTCTCCAAAGTCAAGACCCTCTACTTGAGTGTATCCTTGTGATACAAGTCTTGCTTTGTTCCTTACTACCATGCCATCTTCATTTTGCTTGTTCTTGAAGACCCATTTAGTACCAATCACATTGTAATTCTTTGGTCTCTCCACAAGCTCCCAAACTTGATTTCTCTCAAAGTTGTTCAATTCTTCATGCATGGCATTGATCTAATCGGCATCCATCAAAGCTTCATCTATCTTGGTCGGTTCCATGGATGATACAAATGAATAGTGCTCACAAAATGATGCTAGTCTTGATCTTGTTTGCACACCACTTCTTATGTCACCAACTACTAGCCAATGGATGATCTGTTGCAATACTAGTTGGTTGGAGAACTTGCTCATTGTTGCTTGTGCTCGGTTGATCAATTGGTTGAGATGATGAACTAGCCACTTGTTGATCTTGCACTTGAGAGCCACTTGCTTGCACATTAGGTGAAGTGATCTCTTGATCTTTGTCATCTTCCACATCTATCACTTCCCTAGGCCTTATATCACCAATGTCCATGTTCTTCATCGCATCCACTAGTTGAGATCCTCTCACATCATCATGATTTTCATCCTCATCTTGTGATCCCTTGGTTTCATCAAATTCCACATCATGTACTTCTTCTAGTGTGCCATTGGTGTAGTTCCAAACTCTATATGCCTTGCTATTTGTGGAGTACCCCAATAGGAAGTCTTCATCACACTTCTTATCAAACTTTCCAAGTCTTGCACCTTTCTTCAATATGTAGCATTTGCAACCAAAGACCCGAAAGTATGCTATATTTGGCTTTCTTCCATTCAATAGCTCATAGGGTGTCTTCTCCATCATGGGATAGCAATAGAGCCGGTTGCTATAGTAGCATGCCGTGTTGATTGCTTCGGCCCAAAATGATTGACTCACATTGTATTCACTAAGCATTGATCTTGACATGTCAATGAGAGTCCTATTCTTCCTTTCAACTAGGCCATTAGATTGTGGAGTGTACTTGGCCGAGAATTGATGCTTGATTCCAAAATCATCACATAGCTCATCAATCCTTGTATTCTTGAATTCACTTCCATTGTCACTTCTAATCCTCTTGATGGTGACCTCAAACTCATTGTGAACCCTCTTGACAAAGCTCTTGAATAGATCAAACACATCACTCTTGTCATTGAGGAAGAATACCCAAGTGTATCTAGTGAAGTCATCTACTATCACCAATCCATACTTGTTGCCACCAATGCTTGTATATGTTGTGGGTCCAAACAAGTCCATATGTAAGAGCTCAAATGCTTTGAATGTACTCATCATGCTCTTCTTAGGATGTATATTTCTAACTTGTTTGCCGGCCATGCATGAGCTACACAATTTGTCCTTCTCAAATTTCACATCTTTCAAGCCTCTAACTAGGTCATGCTTCACTAGCTTGTTGAGTTGTTTCATTCCAACATGTCCTAGTCTTCTATGCCATAGCCAACCCATACTTGATTTGGTGAGAAAACATGTTGATGGTCTTGATTCTTTCTCATTGAAGTCCACTAGATATAGGTTCTCATATCTAAATCCCTTGAAGATCAAATTTGAACCATCCACACTCACAACCTTCAGATCATCAACCCCAAAAGTGCACTCAAAACCAAGATCACACAATTGAGCTACGGATAGCAAGTTGAAGTTCACTCTCTCAACTAGTAGCACATTGGATATACTCATGTCATTGGTTATTGCTATCTTGCCAAGTTCCAGCACATTGCCTTTGCTATTGTCACCAAATGTGATGCTATCATATTGACCTTTCTTGTCATCTTTGATTGATTCAAACATCCTAGAATCTCCGGTCATGTGTTGAGAGCACCCACTATCAAGAACCCAATGCCTTCCTCCGGATTTATAATTTACCTACAAAACAAATCAATGTCTTTTAGGTACCCATGCAAGTTTGGGTCCTTGGAGGTTAGTGACAAGGTCCTTTGGCACCCAAATAGCATTCTTCTTTGTGCCCTTCAATGGAATGCCAAGGAACTTAGCCGTCACACCTTTCTCCCCCTTAAATAGCTTGTAGCTTGCATCAAAGAAAGGTGGAGGAACACATGCAACCAACTTGTTGTTCCTCTTATGAGGAGGGATGTATGCATTGTTCCTTTTAGGTGCATTGCTCACATTTAATTTATGGGTGTTGTATGCCACATTTTTACCTTTGTTAAGCTTAGGTGGCATGTGAGCAACATTCCTTTTAGTATGTGTTGGCCTAGCATGATACATATATGCATAGTTTCTTCTAGCATTGACCTTAGGTTGTGATGCATATGCAACATGCTTGTTCCTTTGCAAGATTAGCTTGGTTGTGCATTCTTGCTCTATGTGCCCAACTTGCTTGCATCTATAGCAATAACGACCATTGCTCTTCACAAAGCTAGGCTTTGCTTGAACAAAGGCCGCCTTGCCCTTCTTGGGGATATAACCTAGACCCTCTTTGTTGATTGGAGATCTTTGGTCACCCAAGAACTTTAGCAAGCGGGCATCCCCAACATAAGTTTTGCTTAATGCTAGGTTGAGCTCTTCCACCTTGCTCTTAAGAGCCTCATTTTCTACCCTTAGTGATGGCTCACTAGTGGTAGAAGTGGAGTTGGTAGAGGTGGAAGTAGTGGAGCTAGAGGAAGCATTTGTGGGTGTAACAATGATAGGCTCATCAAGAATATCACATGTTACACCAACATCACAAGATATAACAACTTGCTCACAAATGGCTTCCAAAGATGCATTAGATTTAGCAAGTTTAGCATTAGCATCTTTTAGTTTCTCAAGTTCTTCCAAGACCAAGGAGTAAGCTTTCTCAAGCTTGTTATGGGCTAGTGTGAGGTCATCATGGTCTTCCTTTAGACACTCATGAGAGGCCTCTAGCTCACTATGGGATTGCCTAAGGGATTTTACTTCCTTAGACAACTCCTTGCACTTCTTGCCCTTGTATTTAATTATTGTTTGGGCTTGATCTAGTGCATCCATGAGTTCCAGTTTGCTATGTTCTTCATTTTCACTGTCACTAGAACTAGATTCATGCTCACTATCAGTATTATGAGAGTATACCTTGGAGCCCTTGGCCATGAAGCATGTTGGTGAAGATGAAGCAAATAGAGAGGTGTGATTCCCTCTTGCCATGCTTGCATGTCCCTTCTTCTTGCTTCTTCTATCATCTTCACTCTCACTTGATGAAGAAGAGGAATCATCACTATTCCATGCAGCCACATGAGAGTTTCCCTTCTTCTTCTTCATGTAGACCTTGGTGCCCCTCTTCTTTTCTTTCTTGTCCTTCTTCTTGGACTTCCTCTCATCATCACTATCATCATCTTCTTTGTTGTATGGACAATGCTCAATAAGATGATCCGGGCTCTTGCACTTGTAACATAGCCTCACATAGCCCTTGCTCTTGAAAGTATCTCTTCTCTTTCTTGTTCCATAACCCTTCTTCTTCATGAATTTGCCAAACTTCCTCACTAGAAGAGCCATAGCTTCATCATCACTATCACTTGAATCATCATCTTCACTTGATGATTCCTTCTTGGCTTTACCTTTGCCCTTGCTAGATGTGGCTTTGAATGCCACGGTCTTGTCCTTCTCCTTCTTCTCCTTATTCTTCTCATCATCTTTCTTCTTCTCATCGTCACTATCTTCCTCATATCTATCCTCGGTCATCACATCACCAAGGACCTCATTTGGTGTGACATTCTTTAGTCCTCCTCTAAAGATGATGGTTCTCAAGGTCTTCAACCTCTTAGGCAAGCACCATAAGAACTTTTGGGAGAAGTCCTCATCACTAACTTTCTCACCAAGGCTCTTCAAATCATTCACAATCACTTGGAGCCTATGAAACATCTCCGGGATATTCTCATCATCCTTCATCTTGAAGTTGGTGAGTTGCTTCTTGAGCATGTAGAGCTTAGCACTTTTTACCGTTGTAGTGCCCTCATATGTTTCTTCCAATCTTGTCCACACATCACTAGCCTTGTCCAAATCCTTGATTTGCTCAAACACCTTTGCATCTATACCGTTGTAGATGGTGTTGAGAGCCATTGTGTTGCATTGCTTGTTGGCTTGCTCATTGGGTGTCATGTTTGTGGGATCAAGAATGATAAACTCTCTTTCGGTCACATCCCACACTCTATCATTGATTGAACCCAAATACATCTTGTAACACCCCGTGACGAAATCCATCGTAACCTCCTCCCACTTCCACTTCGGAATTGGTAGTGGTCGCAGAAGGCCTATGGGACTCTTGTGTTCTGCTTTGACTTGTTGACAGGTTAAACATTCCCTTACAAAGTCGGCAACGTCCTTCTTCATTCCACGCCACCAGAACGACCTTTTCAGGTCATGATACATTTTCGTACTTCCCGGATGAGCTAAATAAGGTGCGGTATGAGCTTCAGATAAGATTTCCTTTCGCAACGCTTCAACTTTCGGCACTACAATCCTGCCTCGAAATTCTAAGGCTCCATCTGAACCCAAATGAAAACCCTCGATACCTCCAGCATGGACTTTGGCATCAATAACACAAATAAATTCGTCAGACATCTGTTCTCGTCGGATTCTTTCCCTCAATGTTGGTTGAACCTGCATAGCACTAACACTCCCTGTAATCACTGTAGGAAGTGCATTAACAACCTGAATTTGCATCCGTGCGAACTCTTGGATAAGATGGTTCTGCTGAGTAACGACGTAAGTCAAATCACCCTTCACCTTGCGGCTTAGGGCATCAGCAACGACATTCGCTTTCCCCGGATGATACTGAATGGTACAATCATAATCTTTCACAAGTTCTAACAACCGCCGTTGACGCATGTTGAGCTCTTTCTGAGTAAAGATATATTGCAAGCTCTTATGATCAGTGAAAATTTCGCATTTGCCGCCATAAAGGTAATGTCGCCAAATCTTGAGGGCATGTACCACTGCTGCAAGTTCCAAGTCGTGTGTAGGATAGTTCTGTTCATGCGACTTTAATTGACGTGAGGCATAAGCAACAACTTGGCCATCCTGCATTAGAACACATCCCAAACCCTGTCTCGAGGCATCACTGTAAATGGTGAAACCCCGAGTAGGATCCGGTATAATTAATACTGGTGCAGTGGTCAACCTCCTCTTGAGCTCCTGAAAACTGGACTCACAACGATCAGTCCACTCGAACGTGACAGACTTCCTCGTTAATTGAGATAATGGGAGGGCAATTCTGGAAAATCCCTCAATAAACCTACGATAGTACCCCGCCAAACTGAGAAAACTACGAACCTCGGATGGATTCTTGGGTCTGGACCAGTTTTGAATAGCAGATATCTTGGATGGATCAACCTCAATACCTGTCTGCGTGATAACATGACCAAGGAAAGTAACTTGCTCGAGCCAGTACTTTAGGCTATAAACCCTGAACATGATTCGAGCACCCTAACTAGTCCATAACAGTGATTTCCATAACATAACTGAGCATAGACATAGTAAATTGTTTATAATTTAAAACATGTATCAACACTTACCTGATAGTCGCCGGAGTGTAAGCTTGACGTGATCTGGTATTTTAAAAAAAAGTTTTGACTCTTAAAACT